AACAGCTGCAATGTCACAAACGAGGAGTTAAATGCAGGGAGCGGCATAAAAGATGCCATTTAGGTAATGTATGATCTGAATAGAAGATGGGCTAGTCGTATAGCAAAAGCAATTGATATAAGATGAGTAGCCCAACTGATGCATTGATATAATAAAATAATAAACTGTCCTATTGATTCTCTACATATTCCATTCCGTCTTCTGCCTTCGCCCATCCTGGGAATACTCTCTGTCCTCACCACTACCTCTTAGAATGCCTATTTTCTTTCAAACAACAGTTCAGGAAGGTGGAGCCAGGGGCAGAACTGCCTGACCTCTCCCAAATTCCTCTCCAAACAACATTAAAATAATGCCTCAAAATGAATTTTGGAGTGGCAGAACCAACAAAAGGACAGGGTGAAACAATTTTCTAGCCCAAGATAACATGAAGAAAGTCACAGGAAAGGTCTGTCTCACTAGGGTGAGAGTGTAGTGCAGTCCCCTGCAGGCTTTTTATCCTGAGTTTTACAATCAGTTCTTTTATTTAGTACCAGATAAAGTGAGCATGAAGAAAAGGATTGTACATAAAATGGCTAATATTTATTATGTAGCTTGCTTTTTTCTTAAAGAATACATAATACAATACATTCAAAATGTAATTTTTAAGACTACCCTACTTGTCTGTGATTTTTTATGGCTTTCCTTCTGTTTTCTTCTCAATGGAAAGGTGGAATGAAGTAGAGAGTCCTATCCACTTCTGCTTCCCACCTTCCCCACCCTCATTGGAAAAAACAAAAACAAAATTCTTGCAGTGAATGTTTTCAGTCAAGCCAATTACCACAGTGATCAGCTTCAAAAATGTATGTCTCATTCTGTGATTTGAGTTCATCATATCTGTCAGGATGTAGTGGCATGCTCCATTATAAGTCGTCTGGAATTGTGGTTGGTCATTGCACTGATCAGAGTTCTGAAGTCTGTCAAAGTTGTTTATCTTTACTATGTTATTGTTACTGTATAAATTGTTCTGATTCTACTCACTTCACTCTGCATCAGTTGATACAAGTCTTAAAACTGTCCCTTTTGTAATTTCTTATGGCACAATAACATTTGACTACATTCATATATCATAATTTGTTTAGCCATTCTCCAACTGATATGTACCCTCTTAGTTTCTAGTTCTTTGCTGCCACAAAAAAATTGCTGCTATAAGTATTTTTGTACCTATGGGTCCTTTCCCTCTTTCTTTGATCTCTTTGGGGCATAAGACAAATAGTTATCCAGTCTTCTTTGCATGTAGTTATTAAAAATTGTCTCATAATGTAGATAGCATCTGGAGGTAAGGGTTATTGTGAGGCTTAGGTCAGTCAGTCAATAAAAATTTATTAAGGACCTACTATGTTCCAGACTTGGAATTCAAAGAAAGACAAAAAGCAGCTCCCTTGAGGAGCTCACAATCTAATAAGGGAGACTACATTTATGTACAAATAAGCTATATACAGTATAAATAGGAAATAATCAACAGAAGGAAAGTATTAGGATTAAGAGGAATTAGGAAAAGTTTCCTGCAGAAGTTAGGATTTTATGTGAGACTTGAAGGAAGCCAGACGAAAAGGGAAAATATTCCATGCATAAGGGCCAACCGGTGAAAATACCCAATTAAGGGACATTGTTTCTTGTCTGAGGAACAGCAAAGAGGTAGTGGTGTAGAAGTGAGACAAAGACTGGAAAAGTTATGGGGGAGGGGGAAGGAATAGATTATGAAGGGCTTTGAATGCCAAACAAAGGATTATATATTTGATCCTGGAGATGAAAGGAAACCATTGTGGGTTGATTGAGTAGGGGCCTGATATGGTCAGACTTGTGCTTTAGGAAGATCATTTTGGCAAACCGACCAACAAGCAGGCTATTTGCAATAGTCCAGGTATGAGTATACGAGGGCCTTCACATGGTAGTGGCAATATCAGAGGAAGAGAAGGGGATGTATATGAGAGATGTTACAAAAGTGAAATCGACAGACCTTGGCAACAGATTGGACAGGGTGGAGCAGAGGAAAGGGTTGGGAAGACATCATGAGAGTAAAGAGTCTGTTTAGACTCAAGCCATTTGGACTATGCCACCTAGGTTTTGAGCCTGGGGAACTGGGAAGGTAATGGTGCCCTCAATTGTGATAAGGAAGTTTAGGGAGGGGAGGTCATGTTTCTGGGAAAAGAAAAGAACTTTTGCAGACTTTATGGTGTTATAGATCAGGTATTATCACATTTAGGTATCCTGTCTCTCTTACTGGATTGTAAACTCCTAGAGGTCACAGACCTTGTTTTAATAATATTTCCACATTTCCTAGCAGTTTTCCAAAGAGTAGGGGCAAACACTGTCAAGGGATACGCGGGTCAACATTACTAGATATTTTCAAGTATAATTTCCTACATAAATAAATTCACTTTTTTTCAATGCGAAGTTCAAACCAGAGTCAACAAAAGTGAGATTAACACTGTGAATTTTAGCTGACAATGAATACAGTACAGATTATTTAATGTGTTCAGTTGTTTTTCAGTTGGGTCTGACCCTTCCTTCCTGATCCCCTTTGGAGGGGTTTTCTTGGCAAAGACACTGGAGTGGTTTGCTATTTCCTTCTTCAGTTCATTTCAAAGATGAGGAAACTGAGGCAAACAGGGTGCAGTGACTTGCCCAAGGTGAAAAAACTAGTAATTGTCTGAGGTCAAAAAACTGCAGGGTTGAGGTAACCATTTCGCAAGACTGCAGGTGTCTCTTATTCAAACACAACGAATGGTTATTACAACAGTGGACAACACTATCTAATCTATATAGTTTGTTACATTTTATCTGTCCTTTACTTTCTACTATTGGACAGCTGGGTGGCATAGTGGATAGAGTACTGGGCCTGAAGTCAGGAAGACTTATCTTCCTGAGTTCAAATCTGCCTTCAGACACTTAACAAGCTGCATGATTCTGGGCAAGTCACTTAATCCTGTTTGCCTCAGTTTCCTCATCTGTAAAATGAGCTGGAGAAGGAAATGGCAAACCACTCCAAGAAAACCCCAAATAGGGTCTCAAAGGGTTGGACATTACCGAAATGACTGAACAAAAGGCTACTAAGATGTTGTGAAATGATTGTGGTTCTTACTTGCTCCATACTGTCAGCTGCTGTAAGCTCAAGACTCAGATGAATTGAGTGGTCTCATTGTTTGCTGCATTTAGTGTAAAGTGTGTGAACCTATATGATCTTTGTGTATGTATTAAAAGTTCTGTTGTATTTCCCAATATTATTCATTTTGGTATGACATAATTTGCCTATGTAGTTTTATGAAGTATATGTGACTGTTTCAATGATTTATTTAAAAAGGGTACAGTATATTAATAGGGGGCTTACATGGACAGATAGGCCTTGGGGAAGATCATTTTGGCAGATGAGTGGGGGATGGACTGGAGTGGGGAAAGAATAGTGGCAGGGGTGAACAATCAGCAGGCTATAGCAACTGTTCAGGTGTGAGGAGCTGGGAAACTAAACATTGTTGGGAAACCACTGCCCCATGGCATCATGCAGACAGAAGGTACTAAAAAACTGCTGACTGAATGAGTGGTCTAGGTCAGCCCTCACAGTTCATGGGTAAATAAAGGGAGGCAATGGCTTGCCCAATTTTTTTCTTCCAATTTTAAAAAAAATTTTAATTCATTAATTTTTAGTTTTCAGCATTCACTTCCATAAGATTTTGAGTTTCAAATTTTCTCCCCCTCTTCTCCCCTCTCCAAGATGGCATGCAATCTGATATAGACTATACATATACATTCATATTAAACATATTTTCACATTAGTCATGATGTAAAGAATAATTAGAACCAATGTGAGGAACCACGAGAAAGAAGAAACAAAACAAAAAGAGAGCAAACAGTATCCTTCGATCTGCACTCAGACTCCATAGTTCTTTCTCTGGATGTGGACAGCATTTTCCATTCATTAGTCTTTTGACGTTGTCTCAGATCCTTGCATTGCTGATTGTGTACGAAGTCCTCTTGGTTCTGCTCACTTCACTCAGCATCAGTTCACATAAGTCTTTCCAGGTTTTTCTGAAATCATCCTGCTCACCATTTCTTACAGCACAATAGCATTCCATTACATTCATATACCACAACTTGTTCAGCCATTCCCCAATGGATGGGCATTCCCTCAATTTCCAATTCTTGGCCACCATAAAAACAGTTGCTATAAATATTTTTACACATGTGAGTCCTTTTCCCATTTTTATGATCTCTTTGGGATACAGACCTAGAAATGGTATTGCTGGGTCAAAGTGTATGCACAGTTTGATAGCCCTTTGGGTATAGTTCCAAATTGCTCTCCAGAATGGTTGGATCAGTTCACAACTCCACCAACAATGCATTTGTGTTCCAATTTTCCCATATCTTCTCCAACATTTATCATTTTCTTGTTTTGCCAAGTTAGCCAGTCTGATGGAAGTGATGTGGTACCTCAGAGTTGTTTTGATTTGCATTTCTCTAATCAATAGTGATTTAGAGCATTTTTTTTCCAAATGACTATAAATAGCTTTAATTTCTTCACCTGAAAACTGCCTGTCCATATCCTTTGACCATTTATGAGTTAGGGAATGACTTGTATTCTTATAAATTTGACTCAGTTCTCTATATATTTTAGAAATGAGGCCTTTATCCTGGACACTGGCTGTAAAAACCTGTTTCCCAGCTTTCTGCTTCCCTTCTAATCTTTGCTTTGTGCAAAACCTTTTCAATTTAATGTAATCAAAATCATCTGTTCTGCTTTTCATAATGTTCTCTATCTCGTTTGGTCCTAAAGTCGTCCCTCCTCCACAAATCTGACATCCTTGATCTCCTAGTTTCTTGCCCAATGTTAGCAGTGAGTACAAGGACGAGAACCCCGCCATCACGTGCCTCAGCTTCCAGCCTCGAGGTAGGGCGAAACTTTGAGAGGAAAGGGGGGGCGGGACTTCCAGGCCGGCATTGAAACTGCTTCCGCCAGGAGCCGGAAAACGTGGTCTGGGCCGCACTCTGGGCCAGTGGGGCAGGTGAGGCTCTGGCTGGCCCGTGGCGGCGCGGGAGCGCGCTCCCGGCCGGAGGTGGGGAGGGGCAAGGGGAGGGCAGAAGGGGAGGGGGGAGGGGGCGTGCGCGCCCTCCGGGAGCAGGACACCCGCGGTGGGAGGGGCCCTTTCCCGGAGCCGTCCTTCACCAGCGGCTGGGTGCGGGTCGGCCCCGCCCCCGCCACCCGCTCTCTCAGACCCCTCCCCTGCTCATCTGGCCCGGGCCTCCTTTTCAGTAAGACGGAGCAGGCGCTCCGTCTGTTGCTGTCTAGGGCTCTGCCCACCTCTAAACCGAGCTCCGAGTTTGCAAATTCATTATTGCTCCTGATAGGTGAGGGCTTTGCGCTGCTTGAGACCTGCCCCGAGCCCGCTGCAACCAGACCTCACCCAGGGCTTGGGGAACCTGCTGATCCCCAGGGATCAGCCTTGGTGACCCTGTGGGATGTGGGGGGGAAGCGAGACAGGGTCCCCGCCCTTTGTGAGCAACAGGACGGGCACACCTGAAACCGTGAGATAGCCCCCACGAAGCAGGTGTGTGGGAGCAGTCAGGGGCCCTCTGGTGGCGAGGACTGCGCTGTGCTGATCAGAAAGCTGGGACTTGGGCATCTGGTCCCGCGGACCCTGTGGGGTGGACGTTGGGGGAAAAAAAGGCAAGAGACAGAGTCCCTGCCTTCTGGTCTTAGAGTCTATGGGTGATAAGACGGGCTCACGTGGAGCAGTTAAATAACCCCCACGAAGCAGGAGTCAGGAGCCCACTTCTTGTTGTGGAAAGGTCCCTGGTTTGCGTATCAGAAAGCCTGCGGTCGCTTTCCCTCTCTAGGCCTTGATTTCCTCATCTGTAAAATGAGGGCATTGGACTGGATGGTATCAGAGGTCCCCTCCACCTCTTGACACTTGGCAACTCTGAGCAGTTGCCCTAGGAGAGCAGCCTGTCACATAATTTAACATGCATTTAAAAAAAAAAGTTTTGCCTTTTGTTTTAACATCACGATCATTTTCTCCTGGTGCTTCCTTCTTTAGAAAGCAAATTTAGGCTTAGGTAGGTGATGTAAAAACAAATGGTATCAATAAAAATTTATAACCAAAAAATAATAATACTTAAATCCAATCTGTGCAGTGTATGTAGCATTCTTCACCTCCACAGCCCCCTCCCTACTCCACTCACTCACACACTGAAAAGAGGGCACAGTGCCCGGCACATAGTAGGTATTTAATAAATGTTTATTGATTGATATATTTTATCATCAGCTCTCTAGGGCTGGGATTGTTCATTATAATTCAGAGTTTGATTGCCTTTTACTATTTTATTTTGTAGTTATACATACTGTTCTTTTGGTTTTTCTTTATTCTGTATCAATTATGAACTGCCCATGTTTCTTGGAATTCCTCTTATTTGTCTCTTACAGTTTCCACATATACCACAATTTGTTCCATTGTTTCTCAATCTATGAACACCTGATTTGTTCCCAGTTTTTTGCTATTACAAAGAAAGTTGCTGTGAAAATTTTGTCATATATGGGACTTTTGTGCCACTCACCACCTTGGGGTAACCCTAGTACTAAGTTAAAGGATATGAACAGTTTTTTCACTTTTCTTACATAATTCCAAACTTTTTATACCACTTCATTGCCTAACCTGCAGTGTATGAATGGGCCTCTGATATTGACTATTTCTACTTTTTATCACCTTTGCCAGTTTGCTGATAATGAGATGAAACCTTAGTTACTTTAATCTGCATTTCTCTAATTACTTGGAACATTTTTTTTCTATATGGTTGTTGCTCCTTTACATTTCTCTCTTTTTTTTTTTGTTTTTTGCTTTTTTAGGTAATTGGGGTTAAGTGACTTGCCCAGAGTCGCACAGCTAGTAAGTGTCAAGTGTTTGGTTTGAGGCCGGATTTGAACTCAGGTGCTGCTGACTTCAGTGCCGGTGCTCTATCCACTGTGCCACCTAGCTGCCCCCTTTACATTTTTTCTTCCAAAAACTGTTTCTGTTCTTTAACTATTGATCTATTGGGGAATGGCTCTTGGTCTTGACTCTTTTTGTCAATTTCTGAATGGCTCTTTGTCTTAATTTTATAATATAGTGGCACTTAATATACTTCCTAAGTTTTCCTTTCTGACCTCTTTCAGCTCTCACTCGCAGATTCCTTCCTTTCCCTAAGTGAAGAGGAATGGAAGCTGAGATCCTGGTGAGTTTCTTGCTGAATTCTCATCCCTTGTCCGTGAATGTAATTTCATCTCTGTTATCTTTCTTCATCCTAGAGTATCTCTGCCTAATCAACCTTACCTCAAAGGAGTTGAGCCCCAAGTCTTCTCCCTTTGGATACCTGGCCCATTCTGACAGATGATGGGCTTCATATGAAGTACTCACTGGTTGCTTGGTCATCTGTGGGTCTGTCTTTGAGATAGCGTAGTCCACACATGATTATACAGTTTCTGCAAAAGCTATTGCACATGTATTCTTTGATCCTCAGCCTGGGAAAGTGTGGGCACAAGTGAGCCTACCTCACTACATTTTGGGCCCAGCTAAAGAAGCACTAAGGCAGACCAGGAATGTAGAACTTGATAGTAATTTCCCTTATCCAAGACATTGGACTTAATCTTGTTGAATATTAAACCAAATTTCATATTATATTATAGACCTGTCATCCTTTGTTTCTCATTTGTGCACCTAATATCTCACATATTCATTCAGAGCATTTTCCACTATCATTCAGACATCCTGCACATATCTCTTTTATTTTTTCCCTTCTTTTCTACTACTGCCTCAATGCTGTTTAGTTTTCAGAGCCCTTTACAACCTGGGTCCAATCTGCTCTTCGAAATGATACATTCAAAATTATTTATTTTAAATTAAAAATTATACATTATTTGGGGGCAGCTAGGTGGCGCAGTGGATAGAGCACCAGCCCTGGATTCAGGAGGACCTGAGTTCAAATATGGCCTCAGACACATAACACTTACTAGCTGTGTGACCCTGGGCAAGTCACTTAACCCCATTGCCTAGCAAAAACAAAAACAAAACAAAAATTATACATTATTATTATTGTTATTATACATTACTTCCTTTCCTGCCTCTAAAATTCAGCTAAATTGGATTTCTTTCTGATCCTCTTACATGATACTCTGTCTCTTATCTTCGTATCTTTGTACTGGATGGAATGCGTCCTCACCTCTGTCCCTTAGAATCCTTTGTTTCCCTGAAAATTCTTTCACGTGACACTTTCTTATTCTTTTCTTTTCTTTTTTTTTTTTACGGCAATTGGGGTTAAGTGACTTGCCCAGGGTCACACAGCTAGTAAGTATCAAATGTTTGGTCTGAGGTCAGATTTGAACTCAGGTCCTCCTGACTTCATGGCCGGTGCTTTATCCACGGTGCCACCTAGCTGTCCCCCAAGTGACACTTTCTACATGGATCCTTTCCTGATTCCCTCAGCTACTAGTGCCCTGTCCCCTAAAATTTACCTTGTATGTTTACTTTACATAAGTATATAAGTACATGTTTCCCACCAACTGAACGTAAGCTGTTTGAAGGCAAGGACTGTTTCATTTTTGTCTTTGCCTAGCAGAGTGCTAAGCACATAGTACAGAGTAGCTGCTTAATAAATAATTGATATGACATAGACTCAAGGCCCCTGATTACCTTTATCTGGATACTTTCCAACTTATCTGTGTCCTTTTTAAACTCTGGTGTCTAGAACTGAACACAGTACTTCAGATAAGATCTGACTAGGGCAAAATGCAGTGGGATTTGATAATCAGCTATCATTCCTTAAAGTTATACCTCAATGCAGCCCAAGATTACATTGGCTTTTTGACTGCCATAACATACTGATTACTCATTTTAAAACAGAATAGCTTCTAATGGGAAGTAGATTTTTTTAACTCAAGTATAAGACTTTACCTTTATTCCAAATGAATTTCATCCCATCAGATTGGATCCAGTGTTCTACCCTGCCAAGTTATTTTTGGATCTTGACTCTATTGTGCACTGTGTTAGCTGGCCCTCCAGGCTTTAGATCAACAGTAAATTTGATGAACATGCCATCCAGGCCTTCATCCATACCTGTAATAAAAAGATTAAATAACGCAGGACCAAACTCAGTATCCCTGATGTGCTTCACTTGGGTATGGGATATTTTACTGAAAAAATATTTTGTTAAAATATAAAGTATATATCACACTTCCCACATCTACTAGTTTTAGTAATCCTGTCCAGAAAAGTAAATAAAGTTAGTCTGATATGACCTGTTCTTTTTTTATTTTATTTTATTTTTTAGTTTTAGTGTTCAACATTCACTTCCATAAGATTTTGAGTTCTAAATTTTCTCCTCCTCCCTCCCTCCCTTACTCCCTCCAAGACAGCATACAATCTGATATAGGCTATACATATACATTCATATTAAACATATTTTCACATTAGCAATGTTGTAAAGAAAAATTAGAACCAATGGGAGAAACCATGAGAAAGAAGAAACAAACAAACAAAAAAGAGCAAATAACTTGCTTCCATCTGCATTCAAACTCCATAGTTCTCTTTCTGGCTGTGGGTGACATTTTCCATCATGAGTCTTTTGGAGTTGTCTTAGATCTTTGCATTGCTGAGAAGAGGTAAGTATCAAAGTTAGTCTTTGCACAAAAAGTCTTTGCTGTTACTGTGTACAGTGTTCTCCTGTTTTTGCTCACTTCACTTAGCATCTATTCACATAAGTCTTTCCAGGTTTTTCTGAAGTCTGCCTGCTCCTGTCATTTCTTATGGTACAATAGTATTCCATTACATTCATATATCACATGGCATGACCTATTCTTGATGAAGACATCCTAACTGTAATCTCTGCTTCCCTTTCTAGATGTTAACCAACACTCTCTTTAATAATCCATTGTAGAATTTTCCCTGTAGTTGAAAGCAAGTTCATTGGACTCTAGTTTGCAGACCCTGTTGTCTTTCCTTTTTTTTTTTTGAAAGTCAGCGCATTTTCCCTTCTCCAGTTTTGTGGTACCGCTCCTATTTTGCATGATTTAAGGGGAAAAAAATACTAAAAGTGGCTCAAGAGTAAAATCTGCCAGTTATTTCAGTACCTGAGGGGGAAGGGGAAAAGAACAAGCATATATTAAGCACCTGTCATGTGCCAGGCACCATGCTAAGCACTTTATATATATCATTGATCCTCACAACCACCCTGGGAGATAGGTGCTGTTATTATACCCATTTTATGGTCGAGGAAACTGAGGCAGAGATTCAGTGACTTGCCCAGGCTCACACAGCTAGTAAGTGTCTGAGGCCAGGTTTGAACTCAAGATGAGTCTTCCTGACTCCAGGCCCTGCTGCTCTATCTACTGTACCATCTATTGACCTCTGTTTGGAAATCAGGCCAACAAATGGCTGCCTCAGTACTCTGAGCAAGAACTTACCAACTCACCAACTCTTTCTCTTTTTCTTACCTTCCTTGGATGCTTGTTGGGTGATCTCTGATCTTAAAGCTTCTGTGGCTCAATTGCAGAGTATCAGCCCACATTGCAGCCCACAACACCCATTGCAGCCTGATCCAGATTGAAATGTAATTGGGAGATGTTTAATAAAATAAATAAAAATGCAGTAGAACATAGATAATGTTAATATGGGGTTTTCTGAGTCAATATATATCCTGCAGGGATCCTTATATATGGTTTAATGGTCCCCATTTCTATTTGAGTTTGACTGTATTGCTGTTTGGTGGACAAGCAGCCCTTTCTTCCTTAAAGAATGCTGCTCCTTCCTCTGCAAGAAGAGCCTCAAATAGATATTTAAGCTAGGAGGATACAGCTGTCCTCTTTCTTCCTTTTCTCCTCTGTGTAATGCTTTTCTGCTCTCCAGCATCCCCATGAGGGGAAGGTGCTCCTCTATTTACCTACCCCCTTTTCCATTGAAGCCTTGTTCCTGCTTCCTGTAGGAACACTTTATTCTCCCTAATAGCCGGGAGGGTGGACAGGTCTTCTTGGAGTCCCTTCACCTTCTCCTCCAAGAGGGAAAATTAGCCTATACTTAGAACCCAATAACAGTTGTGGGGCTATGGCAGAAAAACAACAGTCCCATACTGGATGCAAATCATTAAAGAATTTCCCTACTCTTCTTTCTGGTTGAGATAGCCTAGTTTTCTTAAACTACTTGTGGGGATTTACACTTCAACACTAATCATTTGGCTAAAATCTTTGCAGTCAATCATGTCCTCTTATGACAATCCTGCTCGGCTTCCTTTCCTTAGCCTCAAAGACAACTCCACAGACACATCTTCGCCGTGACCCCAGCCTCCTGGGTATTTGACTTATTTGTCCCAACCACCAATTTATTCTATTAATTTACCTTCCAGTTGTTCATTTGTTGTACCTTTTAGTTCACCTTGTCTAGTATGTCCAACTTCCATTTCTTTGCTGTTCCTTAATTCTTGGGCTCAAAGATCACTGTAGCTATGAAATTAAAAGACGTTTGCTCCTTGGAAGGAAAGTATGACAAATCTGGACAGCATACTAAAAAGCAGAGATATCACCTTGCCAACAGAGGTCCATATAGTCAAAGCTATGGTTTTTCCAGTAGCAATGTATGACTGTGAGAACCCTACAGAAGCGATGCTTTTGAATTGTGGTGCTGGAGAAGACTTTTGTAGGAGTGAACTGTTTGTTTTTTTCTTTTTGGTGAGGCAATTGGGAATTAAGTGACTTGCCCAGGGATCACACAGCTAGTTAAGTGTCAAGTGCCTGAGGTCGGATTTGAACTCAGGTCCTCCTGACTCCAAGGCCAGATCTCTATTCACTGTGCCACCTAGCTGCCCCCTGGAGAAGACTTTTGTGAGTCGTTTGGATAGCAAGGAGATCAAATTAATCAATACTTAAGGAAATTAATTGAGGCTATTTACTGGAAGGTCAAATATTGAAGCTGAAGCTTAAATACTTTGGCTACATAATGACTCATTGGAAAAGACCCTGATGTTGGGAAAGATTGAAGGCAAAAGGAAAAGGGGACAGCAGGGGATGAGATAGATGTCATGGAAACAATGAACATGAACTTGGACAGACTTCAAGAGGTAGTGGAGGATAGAAGGGCCAAGTGTGCTATGGTCCATGACTCATGAAGAGTCAGACAAGACTAAATGATTGAACAACAACAATTCTCCTTGATCCTCTGTAACCCTTTTATTTTCTCTTTAATTGTCCTTGCTCAGGTTCTTCTTTCAAACCCTGAAGAAGTCAAATTCAGCTTCTAACCTACTTCAGAAGCCTAGTCCCCTCCAAATTGCCCCAATGATTTCCTTCTTATTTTAGCCCAGTGGAATAGGATATGAGACCTGGAGGCAGGAAAACCAGAGTTCAAGTCCTGCCTTAACTATCTCTGTGACCATAGGCAAGTCACTTAACCACTCTGTTGTCCAAGTTTACTCATCTGCAAAATTATGGTAATAATTGCACTGACCTCCCAAGGTTGTTGTGAAGACAAAATGAGATAATATTTCTAAAGCATTTTGCAAACCTTAAAGTGCTATATAAATTCTAACTAAATTTGTTCATGTCCTCTCTACTCACACATCCTTCTTCCGTAGAAGCTGAAAATAGACCTGTTCACATAAAGTTTATCATGGTATCT